TTTGAACTTAAATACATTTTAAAATTCTATTCAGCTTGGGTCTTTTTCAAGAAATGACTCACAAAAATTATAAAATTTCCTACATGTTCTTTAACTGGCAAATGGATAAACAAATTGGGATATATAGTGGGATACCACTCAGCAATAAAAAGAATAAACCTGTTGATACAGTCAAGAAAACTAATGACTCTCAAAAGCATTATACTAAGTGAAAGAAGCTGTAAGTAAATTGCTACATACTAGTTTTCCATCAAAGAAAATCCCAGGACCCTTTATCATCACTGCTGAATTTTACCAAACATTTGAGGAAGAACTAATGCCAACTCCACTTAAACTATTCCAAAAGATTGAAAAGGAGAGAAAACTTTCAAACTTCTTCTATGAGGCCAGTATCATCCTGCTACCAAAATTAGACAAAAGCACAGCAAAAAAAGAAAATTACAGGCCAATATCTTTGATGAATATAGATGCAAAAATCCTCAAGAAAATACTAGCCAATTGAATTCAACAGCACATTAAAAAGATTATTCATCATAGTCAAGTGGAATTTATCCCAAGTATACAAGAAAGATTCAGCATTATAAATCAATCAATATGATACATCATATCAACAAAATGATGAACAAAAACCATATAATATATGATCCTTTCAATTGATGCTGAAAAACATTTAATAAAATTCAACATCCCTTCATGATATAAACTCTCAAAAAACTGGGTATAGAAGGAACATATTTCAATATGATACAAGCCATATACAACAGACAGACATCTAGTGTCATACTAATAGGGAAAAACTGAAAGACTTTCTTCTAAGAACTGGAACAAGACAAGGATGCCCACTGTTATCACTGTTATTAAATACAGTACTGGAATTCCTAGCTAGAGAATTCAGACAAGAGAAAGAAATAAAAGGCATCCAAATTGGAAAGGAAGAAGTCAAATTATCCTTGTTTGCAGACAATATAATCTTGTATTTAAAGAAACTAAAAGGCACCACCAAAAAACGATTAGAATTTATAACCAAATTCAATAAACTCACAGGGCACAAATTCAACATACAAAATCAGTAGCATTTCTATATGTCAATGGCAAACAATATGAAAAATAAACCAAAAAATGTAATCTCATATATAATAGCTACAAATAAAATAAAATATGTAGGAATAAACCTAACTAAAGAAGTGAAATATTTTTACAATTAAAACTAAAAAAAAATGGATGAAAGATATTGAATAGGATATCAAAAATGGAAAAATATTCCATGCTCATGCAGTGGACGAATCAATATTGTTAAAAAATCCATATTACCTAAAGCAATCTACAGATTCAACATAATCCCTATCAAAATTCCAACAACATCCTTCACAGAAATAGAAAAAAACATTCTAAAATTTAGATGAAACAATAAAAGACTCAGAATAGCCAAAGCAATCCTGATCAAAAAGAACAAAACGGAAGAATTACATTACTTGACTTCAAATTAAACTACAGAGCTATTAGTAACCAAAATAGTATGGTACTAGCATAAAACAGGCACATAGACCAGTGGAACAGACTAGAGAACCCAGAAACAAATCCACACACCTGTAGCAAAATTAGTTTTGACAAGGGTGCCAGAAACATACATTGGGGAAAGGACAGTTTCTTCAATAAATGATTCTGGGAAAACTGAATATCCATATGCAGAAGAATGAAACTAGACCCCTATCTCTTGCCACATACAATATCAAATCAAAATGGATTAAAGACTTAAATCTAAGAGCTGAAATTATGAAACTACTAAAAGAAAACATTGGGGAAACACTCCAGGACATTGTCTGGGCAAAGATTCCTTGAGTAATACCCCCAAATCATAGGCACCAAAGCGAAATTGGACAAATGGGATCAAATCAAGCTAAAAAATATCTTCACAGTAAAGGAAACAATCAATAAAGTAAAGAGACAACCAAAGGAATGAGAGAAAATATTTGCAAATTACCCATCTGACAAGGGACTAATATATAGAATATATAAGGATCTCAAACAACTCAATAGGAAAAAAAAATCAAATAATATGATTAAAAATGAGCAAAAGTTCTGCATAGATATTTATCTGAAGAAGACGTACACATGGCCAACAGGTATACTCAACATCATTCATCACCAGGGGAATACAAATCAAAACTACTTTGAGATATCATCTCACCCTAGTTAAAATGGCTTTTATCCAAAAGACAGACAGGAATGAATGCTGACAAGGATTCAGAGAAAGGGAAACCCTCCGATATTGTTGGTGGGATTGTAAATTGGTACAACCATTATGGAGAACAGTTTGGAGCTTCCTCAAAAATCTAAAAGTAACTACCACATGATCCAGCAATCCCACTGCTAGGTATATATCCAAAAGAAAGGAAATGAGTATGTCTGCACTGTGATGTTTATTGAAGTGCTATTCACAATAACAAAGATTTGGATCAACCTAAGTGTCTGTCAGCAGATGAATGGATAAAGAAATTATGGTACATACTCACAATGAATATTATTCATCCACAGAAAGAATGGCATCCTGTCGTTTGCAGCAAGATGGATAAAACTGGAGATCATTATGTTAAGTGAAATAAGCCAGGACAGAAAGACAAACTTTACATGTTCTCTCTCATATGTGAAAGCTAAAATTTAGAACAATTGATCTCATGGAGACAGAGATTAGGATGATGGTTACTAGAGGCTGGGAAGGTTAGTAGGGAGGGAAGTATAAAGCAGGGATGGTTAATGGGTGCAAAAATATAGTTAGATAAAATGAGCATGATCTAGTATTTGGTAGCACAGGAGGGTGACTATATTAACAATGTTATTATCTATTTTAAAATAACTAAAAGAATGGAATTGGAATATTTGTAGCACAAAGAAATGAGAAATGCTTGTGGTGATGGATACCTCAATTACCTTGATTTGATTATTACACATTGTATGTGTGTATCAAAACATCACAAGTGACTGGGCGCAGTGGCTCACACCTGTAATTCTAGCACTCTTGGAAGCCAAGGCAGGTGGATTGCTCAGGAGTTCGAGAGCAGCCTGAGCAAGCACGAGTCGCCCATCTCTACTAAAAATAGAAAGAAATTAGCCAAACAACTAAAAATAGAAAAAATTAGCCAGGCATGGTGGCACGTGCCTGTAGTCCCAACTACCAGGGAGGCTTGAGCCCAGGAGTTTGAGGTTGCTGTGAGCTTGGCTGATGCCACAGCTTCTAGCCCAGGCAATAGAGCGAGACTCTGTCTCAAAAAAAAAAAATCATGAGTACTCTATAAATATATACAATTATTGTGCACCTATAATGATTAAAAAATTAAAAATCATAATAAAAAGGCTACATAGTGTGCAAATCCATTTATATGATTTTTAAAAGGCAAAGGTATAAGATTGCTTTAGGATCTACTTTTTAAAATAAATTTTATCATGTATATTTAAGGTATACAGCATGATGTTAGGTGATACATATAGGCAGTAAAATGGTTGTGATAGTGAAGCAAATTAACATATCCATCATCTCAAATAGTTACTCCCCTTTGTGTCAAGAACAGCTAAAATCTACTCATTTAGCAAAAACCTCAAATATAATATAGTTTTATTAACTATAGTCCTTATGTTGTATAATATGTTTGACCTACATCTCCTCATTTCCTCCCTCACCCCCATAAATACTGTTTCATTTGCTGCTTTTGTATATTGAATTTTTTCTTTGTCTTTTTAATATTGCACATATATATGAAATCATTTAATATTTTTCTTTATGTGTGCAGCTTATTTCATTTAGCATAATGTCCTCCAGTTTCATCCACGTGTGACACATAGCAGGATCTCCTTTTTAAGACATTATATTTTGTGTGTGCACATATGTATATTAATATATATACATTTTCTTTATCCATTTATCTATCAATAAACAGTGTGTTTCCATACCTTGGATACTGTGAATAATGCTCCAATTCACATGGGATTGCACATCTTTTTACAAGGTGGCAATTTCATTTCTTTTGGGAATATACCTATGAGAAGGATTGCTTGGTCATATGCTAGTTCTATTTTTCTTTCTTTAAAAATCTTCACAGTGTTTCCATAATGGCTACACCAATCTACATTCCCCTGAACCACATACAAAGGTTCCCTTTTCTCTACACTTGCTAATACTTGTTATCTTTTGTCTTTTAAAAATTTTTTTAAAATTTCAGCATATTATGGGGGTACAAATATTTAGGTTATGTATATTGTCTTTGCCCTATCAGAGTCAGAGTTTCAAGCCTGTCCATTCCCCAAATGGTGCACACTGCACCCATTAGGTGTGTATATACTCATCCCCTCCTCCACACTCCCATCTGCCTGACACCTGATGAATTACTATATGTGTACATAACTGTTGATCAGTTAATACCAATTTGATGGTGAGTACATGTGGTGCTTGTTTTCCTATTCTTGTGATACCTCACTTAGTAGAATCAGCTCCAGCTCTATCCAGGATAATATAAGAGGTGCTAGATCTTTGATCTTTTTGATAAAAGCCATTTTAATATGGAGATTTTTTTTCCATTTTATAAGAAAAAGATTTCAACATTTTTAAGAAAACATTGGTAAAAGTCAGTGAAGGGCACCATGTATAGAATAGGCTATAACACAGGGAACAACACATAAATACATAGAACTAATGACCATCCTATAACCAGCTCAAACTGGATGACAGCAGGGAGCAGGTTATATTTAATAAAGGAGACTTTTTGCATATATGAGTGCAGTTATTTAACATATAAAATAAATGTGTGAAATCCCAAATGACTACTGCTATGGAATTAATTGCGTCACCCAAAATTCATATTGAAGCCTTAATTCCTAGTGTGGCTGTGTTGGAGGTAATTAAAATTAAATGGAATTATAAAGATGGGATCCTAATCTGAAAGAATCCATGGACTTCCAGGAACAGAGACAGATCTCTCTCTCTCTCTTTCTGTCTCTGTCTCTCCCAGCCCCCCCTCCCCAGGCATGTACCACACTGAAGAAAGGCTACAGGAACACACAATGAGAAGGTAGCCATCTGTAAGCCAGGAAGCGGGACCTCACCAGAAACTGATTCTGAATTGGCCTGCATCTTGACCTTGGATTCCCAGCTTCCAGACTGTTAGAAATAAATATCTGTTGCATAAGCTATTCAGTCTATGGTATTTTTTTTTTTTTTTTTTTTTTTTTTTTAGTGAGTGCCGTGGCGTCAGCCTAGCTCACAGCAACCTCAAACTCCTGGGCTCGAGTGATCCTTCTGCCTCAGCCTCCCGGGTAACTGGGACTACAGGCATGCGCCACCATGCCCGGCTAATTTTTTTTTATATATATATCAGTTGGCCAATTAATTTCTTTCTATTTATAGTAGAGACGGGGTCTCGCTCAGGCTGGTTTTGAACTCCTGATCTTGAGCAATCCGCCCGACTCGGCCTCCCAAGAGCTAGGATTACAGGCGTGAGCCACAGCGCCCGGCCAGTCTATGGTATTTTGTTACAGCAGTATCAGCTGACTAAGGCAATTACCAAATAATTTTCTAATTATCAGACACTTTAATACAAAACAAGCAGAAAAGATCAAACATACCTCATTATCAGAAACTATATGTTGAAATGAGAGAATATATCAATATGTCATGCTGAGAATATAAAGATCATGTTATCTCTGAATTTTTTATATTCTCCAAAAGGTCAAAAACACTGCATTGTAAAAATTATAGTGTCACAAAGCTTATAAATTGAGTTTTTTAATTCAATTTTTGTACAAATGTTATTGGAAACCTTAAATTACTGAAACATGAAATGTTAAAATCAGGTCAGGTTATTTGCAATCTCGACACTAGCCTAGATTTAAAAAAATATAATTGTCAATGGTTATAATGACTATGAAATTAGTCATACAACTAGTTTGGCCATGTACCCTTTAATTGAAAGAGAATTGCACTCACCATTGTCTGTATGATAAAAACAGAGATGATATAGATCTCTTTTAAACATTTGGATTTTACTTAGGTTTTGGTCTTTAATTGAAATGTGTTAACCAAGCGGGCCTTCCCAAAAATGTATTTAAAATATTATGATATTTTATTTATAACATTTATAGTAAAGTCACTGACAAATTCTTACTTTTATGGTAACTAGCTAGTATTTACTGAGGACCTGCCAGAGTTATTACATATGATGTCCTTTCATTCTCATAATTTTTCTACAATGTATGATCTATTACTCCCATTTCGCTGACAAAAAGAAAAGCTAATATTATTAAATGTTTTCCATGTACTAAACTCTATATTTTACATGAATTAACTCCATTACTTCCTATAGCAACAAGAAGTCCTCCAGAGCAGTGGTCCCCAACCTTTTTGGCACCAGAAACCAGTTTCATGGAAGACAATTTCTCCATAGATGCATGGCCTGGTTTTTAACAGGGGGACCTGTTAGAGTTGGGGACCACAGCTCCAGAGAACAGTTGGGAACTGTTAACCGTTAATAGAAGGTACACTTAATTCTCAGTTTTTGAATAAGGAAATCAAAATATAGAGATATTAAGTAACTTTCCCAAAATCACACAGATAATATGGGTTAAACCATTCTCTCTCTTTTGATGTTGCAATTTAATGACTACTCTATTCTATCTGATATTCTAAGGAGAAAGAAAATTCCTTCACGTCATTCAAAATAACAAATTATCCAAATCTGACTCCAAATTGAAAATTTTTCTACTGCATACAACTGCCCTTATTTTATATTATAGATATTCACTACAACATATTTTTGTCAAAATATTTAGTGGATCCTGTAACACAGTAACATATTTAGTAACTCTTTTTAATCCTAGAATTTTCAAATCATATTATGAAATATGTAGGTACACTTATCCATTGCATTCAATTCTTATACAGCAATCTGTAAACAAAATTTTAAGTATTCACTTAAGATTTTGGTAGATTTGTCCTCATTTTGAATGATATGTGATACTATATTATCTCAATACATAAAACAATCATAATTCTGTGGATACAAGATTCCTAAATAGCTATATTCTTTAGTTATCTCCTACCTGATGTGATATCATTTGTTTGATACATGAGCTGTTTAAACTATCAATTATACTACATTGGATTGGCCTCGTGTCAAAGAACTATTAATAAGTTTTTACATGCTATTTTTCTAGGGTAATCAGACACTAGGCATGGTATAGTGAGTGATAAAGGTGCTATTATTGAATTTTGGATACTTTCTTTTTAAAACATGGGCTTTTTACATTGCTTGCTTCTCCTCCCTTAATAAATTCTTTCAAAAGAACATTTGCCTATCTTATTCATAGTTAATATTTCCATCTCTTTACATAATTGCATATTGACATATGTTCAGATTACTATTACTAGACAACTTATTTTAAAATGGTAAAAAATATTAACTTTCAAATAAAATGTGATTTAGGCAAATGTTTAATACTTCCATAAAGCAAATTTTTCAGTAAAACTAAAAGAATTCTAAGGACAGAAGGAACTTAAAGCACATAGGTTCCAATAACCCCACTTATATTTTCATCATCTGTGCTATAGCCCTACTACATGGCTATTTAGTCGTTATTTTAATGTCTCAATAATGAAGAACTCTGTATTTAAAGGCAGTATTTTCTACCTTCACACTTCTCTGGCTATTTAAAAGATTTCCATTACACTGAATCCACTTGTTTTAATTCTACCTTTTAAAGTCATATATAACTGAAACAGATCTTTAATATAAAATGATGATGACTATAAAATGTATAACACTTTCTATAATAAGCTCTAAGCTCATCTTTAAATAGGTTGGTAAAATGCATCTTTTTCTTAATGAAAAATAATTTTGTCAATATCCAGAAGTTTCACAAACTCTCCCAGTGTTCTACAGTAAGATTAAACTAATCAAGAGACTTGAAGTCATTTACAATGAAAATATTATCTTTTTGTTCTTACCAGTTAGGACTTCCTTGTTTGAAAGGAGAGAAAATTAAACTCAAAGTGGTTTAAATACAAAAGTAAAGCATTGACACATATACTTCCAAAGGCCAGCAACTGATTTAGAAGCCCAAACATCATCAGGACCTGTTTCTCAGCCCCAGGTTTTGCATTCCATTAAGTTTACCTTATTCTCAGAATCTATGTGAGGCTCCTCATCAACCAAGAAGACGTATTTTCTTTTTATTTTTTTTCTGCCAGGTTCAAGTAAATCGGAAGAGAAAACATCTCTCCTTGAGATTGCCCGGATAAGCTTGATTTAAGACAGTTGCTCATGCTCATTTGGCGGTAGCTACAGAAATGTGATGCTGTGAATAATTTCTCAGTATACTCCCCGGAACATTCTAAGAACTCAATAGATGCCCATTATTTGTATTATTAACCAAACTCAGTTTCTATGCTAGCTCTGGAGCTAGAAGACATTTGAATAAAGCCAATGGAGTAGCACAGTTGGGGACACTGTTGTTGAGTAAAGGGTCATAGACACTGCCCACCCTCGAACTTCAAATGTCCACCACACCAACTCCTCATTCACAGTGAGTTTGCACTTTATCTCACCACCCTGGTTCTAATATGTCCAATATGGAGATATCTTTTATGAGTGGGGAAGAAGACTCTATTATTTTATATTTTTCACAAAATTAATTCAATTTCCCTTTTACTATTGAGATTGTTCCGATGGATAATACTACTACTACTAGGTTCATTTATGTTTTCAATTGTTTTCTCTATGCTTCAATTTTGATGATTGCTATTGATCTATCTTCAAGTTTAGTGAACTGTAGAGTCCAACCTACTGTTAAGTGCATGTGGTGAAAATTTTAATATCTAAGCCATTGCATTTTTTACTTCTAGAAATTTCATCTTGTTTATTAGACTAGCAATTTCTCTCTAAAATTCCCAATCTCTTAACCCATTAGATACATCTTTTTCTGAATTTGCTTCAAGGTATTTATAATTGTTGTTTTGAAGTACTTTTCTGGTTTTTCAGTGACTGGTTCATCTGTTACTTTTCTTCTGATGATTGTGTTGTCTGTTGATCACAGATAACATTTTCTTGCTTGCTTGAATTTCTTATACTTTGTAATATGATCTAGATATTGTGTAAAAGAGACTATGGAGACCGAAATAATATTTTTTTCCTGCAAAAATTAAGCCTTATCCTCTTTCTGGCAAATGAGTTCTATTATGTTTTTATTGAGTTTGGTTGTGTTCCTAGCAATGTTGTTAAAATTTCTTATTGGTTCTAAAAATTTATCTGTAGTTTTTTGGGGAAAGTTATCAGCATAAAAATTATACAATCTGCAATAATTTTTCTAATTCTTATGTATTTTATTTCTTTACATTGTCTTACTACTGTATCGACATTGACTATCATAAAATATTTAAGATGGAAGAACAATAACCAGTAAACATGTTGGATTCTTCATGTTTCAGGAAATTGCTTCAATAATTCACCATTAATATTATATCTGCTGGAGTTATTTTGCTGTTGTTTTTATTATGGTTGCTTTTAATTACCTTCTATGAATATTTTTCTTAACATGACCAAGATTTACATTTTAACAAATTCTCTTAATCAAGTGATTTTCCATTTAATGTATTTAGTCAATAATGTTAATCTATTTTTAATAATAAACCAACCTGCATTTCTTGAATAAATCACAGAAACTAGTTTAAATTGCTGTATTTGGTTTATTAATATTTTATTTTAGAATGGTGCATCAATGTTTGTGAATTAAATTGGCATTTAACTTCCCTGTCTAGTGTGACTGCACCTGGTTTGACAATTGATATGCTCTAGTGTCATAAAATAAAAGGAGAATTTCTCTTTATTTTATGACTCTGGAATTATCTACAAAAAATTGAATCATTACAATGATTCAATGTTTTGGGATGTTTTGTAGAACTTGACTTTACACTCACTGGGTCTAGTGTTTTATCTGTAGGTAGTTTGAATACTGATTTGTTTTCTAATAGAACTATTGAAATTAAGATTATTTCATGGTTAGTTTCAATAAAATGTAATTTGTTAGAAATGTGTTCATTTATTTAAAAATTTCAAATATATTGAATTTAAGTTGTTAAAATATTTTCTTATT